AAAAAAAAAAAAAAAAAAAAAAAAAAAAAAAAAAAAAAAAAAAAAAAAAAAAAAAGGAAAGAAAGAAAGAAAAAGGAAAAAGAATACTTGGATAATTGTATTTTGATTGTGAACTAACCTACGTATTTAAAAAACAGGCCATTAAGCCTTTTTCTATAGAATCCAGATTAGTAACATTTTCAGTAACTATTTTTTCTTATTGTATTTTCTCTATGTTCATTTAGGATGATACTCAGTTGGTCATTGGCTGGGGAACATCTGTGAAGATTGCATCAATTCGAACAAGCCAGAATAAAACAGCCAATGGAACACAAAATAGTCGGCACGTTCCAATGTCTAGCATGAACCGGGTTGATGTAGTGGCATCTTTTCAAACTAACTACTTAATCACAGGAATTGCTCCATTTGGGGATGTCCTGGTTGTTCTGGCTTATATTCCCGAGGAAGAAGGTGAAAAAAGTTTTAGTATAACTGCTCCATCCCGGCAGGTATGTTCACAACATATATCCAGTCTTGCACGAGATTTTTTATGCGTGTTTTAAGTTTCTTTTTGTACAGGTTCTTAGCTACTTTTACATGTTCAAATTAGTTCAGATTTTACGTGTACCACAAACTGAGAGCTTAGTAGATAAATTATATTATGCATGGATCAGAGCTTTTGCAATCATAAATTATATTATGCATAGTTCCTTGTCAGTTGCTTAGTGGCTTAGCCTTTCAAATATCATGAGAAATCATAGACCTTTTTCACTTGAAATGAATGATTATATTTTTTTGTTGACACTCATCAGTTCCTGATTTAATTATTTAAGGTCGTGAATATGCTGTTTCTTCTGTCTAGGTGTGTATGCGAATGAATGGCATGTGTAATGGGAGTATAAACGGGTTTTGAATTTTTTTTCACAAGAAACGAAAATTTTCATGATTAAATGAAAAAGAGACTGATAAGATACAAACTCCACAAACTCCCGAAAACAGTAAGTGGCAATAAATAGAAGAAAACATTCCGACGAGGACAAAACTTATGAAGAGAAATCTACAAACTTAGAAATAGAACACCAAGAAAAAGCCTTGATATGGGCCGAACCAAAATGATCTTTCCAAGGGAGGAGCTTGATATGAAAGAACCTTTGATTTCTTTCTAACTATAACTCTGAAAATCTTGTAAAATAAAAGCATCAAAATATTTGGATAGAGAACCCCTAGAAGAAATCTTTCAGACTTGAACATTCAATGAGCTCAAGCCACTGAAGATGATTGATGTCAAAGATTCTGAAGATCTTTTCCAACCAAAAAAGATCTATTATTTATTGTTCTCAGAACACACCGTGGAATTGAAGAATTCAATCAATTACTACAAAAACTCTTAGCAAGTTGACCAAAGGACTTTGGGATCCAACAAACATGTGTTTGCCGAAGATCTAAGAAGGATATTTTTGTTAAGATCTTAGATTTTTTTTTTGTTAGTCAAAGATATCTTACTGACTTATTTCAAGGGAAAGAATTACTTGGTTGTAGGACAACAGAAACTCCTGGATAAAAAATTATAAGTTGCAGAAGATCTACTTGTGGTTATTGTTCGTTAGTTGAAGGAAATTTAGTTACTTGACGTAGTAAAAAACAAATGTAGTAGCCCGTAGTGTTGAAACAAATCTAGAGCCATAGCACATGAAATTTGTGAATGTATATGGATCAACAGGATTCTTGAAGAATTGAAATTTTCTCAAAAAGCTCCTATATTGTGATAACAAGGTTGTCATCGTCATTGCTCAAAGCATATTGACGTTGACAAGCATTTCATAAAAGAGAAAACTGATGTGGGTGTAATATGTCTATCTTATCTTCCTACAATAGAACATACGATTGATATGCTAACTAAAGGTTTTCCAAAAAAAATACTTCATAAACTTATCAACAAGTTGGCTATGAAAGATATCTACAAACAGCTTGAGGGGGAGTGTTGGATTTCAATGTTGATTGTCTATTATGCATATATTCTTTATTTATAATTGTAACATTTATTTCCATATTGGTTGACGATGTTTCTTCTATATAAGAGTACCTTGTATTCGTTTTAGATGTTTAAGGAGAAATAAAATAATATTATTCTTCTTCTCTAAATTCAACTGTTTCTTATGTAAAAGCATGGCAACCTGCTCTGTATTTTATGATTGTATAGGCGCTTGCTCATTTTTCTTCATGAAGGTGCTCGTTACTCCCTTTGACGTGTATTGCTATCTTACTCTTGTAAATCACTTTCAAGTAGGGAAATGCCCAAAGACCAGAAATTCGTGTCGTAACATGGAACAATGATGAATTATCTAATGATACCCTACCTGTACATGGTTTTGAGCATTACAAGGCAAAGGACTATTCCCTTGCACATGCTCCTTTCACAGGTTAATTTATATCTATGGAAGAATATTATTTTTTTAGCACAAGGTAAATTGCATTAAATGTTCAAATACTTCTTTATGTCAGTGTAGGCAGCAGCTATGCTGGTGGTCAGTGGGCTTCTGGTGTTGAACCTATGTACTATATTGTATCCCCAAAAGACATAGTTATTGGGAAACCCAGGTCGGTTTTTTAATCTGTGTTGTTTCATAACTCTAGACTTCTCATTTTATTGTTGTACCTGCTACTCTTAATTGGTAAACACTGGAGGAAGACCTCTAGTATTATCTATGGTAAGCTTGTGAGTGGATCTGTTTCTTTTGATGTTCTTGTTTTTTTTTCTTCACGTGCTCAGTTTTCACACCTCACATTGTATTTTTATCACTCTTAATGGAACTATTGTTTAGACATTTCCTTTTTGTAAGGTTATCTTTTTGTATGCCCTTGTATTTTTTTATTTCTTCTTTATGAAAACGTGGTTTCTTATTGAATTGTTAAGACCTTTTGGGATGGAAAGCCATATTTCATTCAGAAGAATGAATGGAAGAACAAGAACAGTAGCATAATGAACATACAGCCACACCAAACACTGGGGTGACTTCAAAGAAAATATTTAATAATAAATTACAAAGAAATAAATGAAAGTTTCTTGGGTAGTAATACTGGCACAAGGAGTGGTATTGAATGTAGCCACAATTTGCACCTTATCCCAAGACCTTCCAACTTAAAAAATTCAATTTTATTGTTTACTTTTATAAATAACGGAGCTTTCATTGAGAATAAATAAACGAATACAAGAGCATATTAAAAAAAGAGCTCCTAAAAAAGGGGGGCAAACTACAAAAGGGGTCTCAAATCAAGAGAAATAAGACCTAACAAATAATTACAAAAGTGCTTAGCAATAGAAGTCCATAAGAAAACATAGAATCTTACAAAAGACCAAACCTCACTCAGAGATCTCTCAAACCTTTGAAAAATTCTATTGTCCCTTTCACCCCAAAGACCTCACAAAATAGTACACACCCTAGCTTGCCATAAAAACTCTCTATTATTAGGGAAGGGAGGATGAAGAAATTCCTTGATCATCTCTCTTCAACTCTTATGTCTGGCTAACTCTTGACGAAACACCTCAAAATCTGGGTTCTGGACTGCATATGCAAAATCACAACCTCAAAGGTATGGTTATGATTCTTGGTTGCCCTGTTGTAGATGCAACACAATGACCATATCAAGTTAGGCACCCTCCTCGACACCTTGTCCAAGGTGTTAAACCTTTCGTGAAGGGCTTGCATTACAAAAAACTTAACCTTAGGAATTTTTATCTTTCACGACGAGGCATATTCATCTTCTACAACGAGGGATGGACTGAATTGCTAAAGGGAGAAGGATTAACTAAACAAAGAAAACAAGAACTACACGAGAATCCTTTGGACGAACTAGGGTTCTGATAAACTCCCAACAATGTTCATCCTTTTTCCATTGGATGAAGCATGTTGGAGACCTAAAGAATGAGAGTACACAAACCGAGACAACACAGCTGCTACCGAATTGTTCCTATCGAGGATAAATGGAATAGACGAAGAAGAACAACCTACAGAGCAGAAAGATGTATCCTCCAACCATTTATCCTCAAAAGGTGTCCCTCTCATCCCTAACTAAACTAAATTATGAATAAAAAAGGGAAGAAAAGAAATTCCTCAATGTTGCCTCTCCAATATATTTTGAAGTGCCTTTAAATACATTCAAGCTCCATTCAAAAGGGGATGGCTTGGATTTTCTCGATAATCCAACCTCGTGATGAAACTGACCTTGTTTCTGGCTCTACCAATCCATAATCCCCCAAAGTCCACTCACTTCGTAAGCACCTCCCAAGGAAATTTCTCATGAGCTTCTCTGGAGATTTTCTCATCACCACCAGAATTTTGGAAAGAGAAAAATAGTAGGTAGGAATCCCACTCAAGATGGGTGGATGAGAGTGAGTCTGCCTCCTTTTGAGAAGAAGCTCCTTTTCTAGGACGATAATCTCTTTTGAATCTTATTTACCATGGGGACCTAAAGCATTCTACTCTTTGGACAATGTCTTAAAGGAAGACTGAAGTAAGAAGGGAATGTTCCAACCTCACACCCAACCATAGAAACCAAATGCTTAGCTTACCAGGATCACAATTTAAAGCCAACAGCTAGAATTTATCCTTGTTAATCTTTAGCCTAGAAATGACGTCAAAGAAAGCTAGGAAGTTATTTAGGTTGACAAACTACTCTGCATTGCCAGAGCAAAAAAACGATGGTATTATCTGCATACTCTTTGCGAACGAAAGACGAGACAGGAGCAAGTTATCGGTGCCAACATTGAAGCCTTCAAAGACATTATGCTCCACCCCTTTGAGATGATTCTACTTAAAGACATCCACAACAAGTAAGAATAGAATAGCGTGAGATGGGCACCCTGTTTAAGACCTCTTGAGGCATGAAATCTACCTCTCGGTCTACCATCAACAAGGTTTGAGAATTTTATTGATCTAATACAACTCCAAATCCACGATTACCATTTATATTAAAACCATTCCTAGCAAGGATTCTATCCAGGAAGTTTCAATCCACATGGTCATACAATTTTTCGAAGGTCAATCTTGTAGAAAACCTAGAAAACCCCCTTTTTTCGAGTTCTATAGTCATCAATAGTTTCATCGGAAATGGAGCTTGGTCTAAGATTGTCTACCTGCATCGTATGTACCCCGTGACTTACAGTGGTAAAAGAAGCACTTTCCTCATATTAGGTATGCACTCTTTCTTTTTTGCTTGGTAAGAAAATATATCATAGCAAATTAGGTAAAATGTAAATCCTCCTATTTTTCTCCAATCAAATATTCTGTGAATAGTGAAAGAACCAAATTGGTGTAAAACTCTTCTTTCGTCCATTCAAATACCATGATGGATGTTAACTCTTTGCAACATACCAAGGGGGTAAAGAGGTATCCCGTCAATCAAAGAAAGACAAGATTGTTATAATGTATGGCTGTATGTAATGTTGTCCTTTATTGTAATTGTCCTTTTAGTTTAGGTCCTCCTATATACCTATATATACCTATATATATATATATATGTATGTATGTAACTCTTTAATCTAAAATACAACTAAGTATTTTTTTTTACTATTGAGCACATGGTATCAGAGCAACCTCTAGGGGTTTTAGAATATGTTTTTTTCTTTTGGCTGTTAGGATGTTAACGCTTTGCAACATACCAAGGAGGGAAAGAGGTCTCCCATCAATCTAGGTATTGTGCTTTTGTAAGAGGAAATTTAGTGTTATGGAAGAGTAAGAAGCAGAATGCGATTTTATGTTCAAGTGCTGAGTCATAATATAGAGCTATGATACGATCTGTGTGTGAAATAATGTGGATAATCAACTTTTAACTGAGATAGGCTTCAATATTATCGTGTCAGCTAAATTATGGTGTGTAATCAAACGACACTTCACGTTGCATCCAACCCAGTGTTTCATGAGTGGACTAAACATGTTCAAGTGGATTGTTATTTCATTCTTGAGAAAAACAAGGGTTGAAGTCCACTGGAAAGACTGTAGAACAATTGAGAGGATCCTTAACAAACATTTGAACATCAAGAATAAACTATCTTTACAACAAGCTGGGCATGAAAGACATATTTGCTCCAACTTGAGGGGGATTGATATAATTGATGTTACTATGTATAGTTGTCCTTCATTGTAATTGTACATTCCTTTAGTTTAGGTTTTTCTAGTATACCTATATATGACTCTAATCTAAGGTACTATTAAGTAGTTTTCCAATGCTAAGCAGAAAGACAACCACAGTGGGAACATTTCTTTCCCATGTAGAATTCAAGCACGAATGAGAACACCAAGATTGAAGGGAAGTGTTGTCCATCCATCGATTCTCCCACAAGCAAGTTGGATTACTATCTCCAAGTGAATATTTTATGAAATCAAGGAAACTTGGAGGACACACCGTACATGGTTTCTAGTTGTTGTCATTGAACATCACAATTGTGTCTCTACCCATGTCAGGGAACCCGTATTTTCTAACAAGAATTTGATGCAGGAGTATATGACGTTCTCAGGTAAAAGGCAATAATCATTTGGATTAAATTGCAGGTTTGTTTCTAACGACTCCACTCCCAATCCACAACTCCCCCATCCTCAGACATGTATCTCCACTTTAATAAATTCAGTCCTCTCATATCAGGCCTCATCCACACCATCTATAATAAATACCTCAGCTTTCTTGTAAAATGTCTCTGCTTTGGACGAATGCAGTCAAAGCCTTACTCTTAGGATTGTGGATAGAAAGAAATTTACGGTATGAAACTTTGAAGAGAAGCATAGTTCTTGGGTTGATTGTTTTGAGTCAGCTCATCTCAAAGCCTCTCTTTGGTGTTCTCTCACTAATTCATCGGCAGTTTTTCTTTGCAGTATATTAATTTAAATTAGAAAGCTTTAATTCATTAGTTTTAATTTCTGTTCTTTACTTGCTCACCTCGTTTGGAATTTGTATCCTTTGAGCATTAGTCTTTTTTCATTAATTCAATGATTTTTTTTTTCAAAAAAGAAAAAGGACTGGGCCAAAATGAATAAAAAATGAAGAGGAATTTCTCTCAACACATAGGAAAATTCTATCTACTTCTGAGGTTCGCACATTTTCATCTTTAAGATAATGTGCATGTTTTCTTGTCTTTATCTTTCTTAGGGATGCGGAAGATCACATTTCTTGGCTTCTTGAACACGGTTGGCATGAAAAAGCTTTGGAAGCAGTCGAAGCAGGTCAAGGAAAAAGTGAACTCCTTGATGAGGTACCTTCCTTTGGCCCATTCATTTCTCCTCCCTGCTTAACCCTTCCTTTACTTTAAATTGATGCTTGATACTTAAAAGCATGTTTCATGAATACATGTCATTAGTTTGTTTTCTTTAACGAACTTCTGAGCTCTCCCTATCATATGAGGACTGTATCTGCATTTCAAATTTTGCATACTTGGCTTAGTTTCAATTGAATGCTTGCATCCTGTCTTGGTAACAAATGGATTAGGCCCCAATATTCCTCTACCCCATACCTTTAGATTGAGGCCTTTTGTATGACAACTCCTCATGCTAGGCTTAGGGACTCCCCCCAATCCCTAAGGCCCTTAGGTTGTCTATCTTCTTTGATGATTTTTATATTTATCCGTTTCTCATAAAAAAGAAAAAATTGCTTGCCCCATGTAATTTCCCGGGTGTTCCAATTTTTCTTAAAGCCTTCAAACGTCCCAACAGAATTATATTTTTGTTAGTATCCTGGAATTCTTACCGAACAGTATTATATTTTTTTGTGATTCTTTGGAAGTCTTACTTGCACCTTTTATCTAATCAATGAAATTTCTTCTGCACATGAAATAAGCTGTAAATATTCAGGATGAATTGCTTGATTGCTCTGGGGATTCATAATCCCAGAGCAATTAATATTTCAAGTCATTTTTGTATGAAGTTAATGGAGTGTAATACTATTTTATCAAATAAAAAATTCTGCATCCTTCTTTAGAAGAAAAATAAGCATAATACATTTTTGTTGCTTATGTATTTAGGTGGGATCCAGATATCTTGATCACTTGATTGTGGAGAGAAAATATGCTGAAGCTGCCTCGCTGTGTCCCAAATTGTTGCGAGGCTCTGTTTCTGCTTGGGAGAGGTAATTAGTTGATTTCCTTGTATACTATTCTCCAGGCACTAGCATAACTACAGAAACCGGGTTTTCACAGATGGGTTTTTCACTTTGCTCATTTGTGTCAACTTCCTGTATTGGCTCCATATATACCAACAGAAAACCCCAGATTGCGTGATACTGTTTACGAGGTTAGTCTGGAAGAAAATTTCTCTGATACTTTTTGTTTTCTCTTTTAAGAGAGATTTATTTATTACCAACTTGAAAACTTGACATTTTTTTCCGTTTATACGCAGATGGCTCTCGTTGCTCTTGCTTCAAATCCGTTGTTTCACAAGGATCTATTAACGATTATTAAGTCTTGGCCATCAGTGATTTATTCTGCCCTGCCCGTTATTGCAGCCATAGAACCTCAGTTCAATACTTCTTCAATGACTGATGCTCTTAAAGAAGTAAATATTTTTTTTTCTGTTATTTTTTCTCGAAGTGTGTTTTGTTGTAAGCTCATTTCTTTCCTGCATCAGGCATTAGCTGAGCTGTACGTCATAGATGGACAGTATGAGAAAGCTTTTTTGCTGTATGCTGATGTAAGTTTTAGATTTGTGCTCTCTCCACTGTTAACTGGTTCTAGAACTCCACTGTTTCCCTTTTTAATACATATTTAATTATTTTGCCCTTATTTTCAGCTGCTGAAGCCAGATATATTTGACTTTATTGAGAAATACAATCTGCATGAGGTGATTCGTGAGAAGGTATGAGAATTCGAAATTAGGCGACCCTATAGTTCTCTTGTTTCTTTCTTCCAAGAGTAAAATTATGTTTGTGTGGTAATTGTGTTATAAAATGTCACTTTGGCAGTAACAATTGGATGGTAGAGTCTTCTAACCATCGTCAGTTGACCTAGTAGTGGTTGAGGTTAGTGAAAAAAGTAAGAGGTTAGGAGAAAATAGGTTCCAACCATGGATGCCACTTGTCTAGTATATATTTCTTCTGAGCTTTATTGACAACCAAATACACTCATATAGTAGGACACTAATATACTAGGATTAGGCAATTGTCCATGAGATTAGTTGAGCTGTGGTCAACCTGGTAGAGACAGTCACAAATATATAATAATAATTATATTAAAAAAAAAAAAAAACAAAGGACCTTCCGACTAAAAGCCGGATCTTTTATGAACATTTTTTTGATAATGTTGTTGCATTTCTTTATCACTTTTGATCCCTCAATTAGAGTCACCAATTTTTACATTAGATGCAAACGATGGAACTCTAAAGGCTGATATTATATGGTTTTTGAATTTCTTTTGTTTCAAAATTATGCATCTGTATTTTTTGGTTATAACTTTGTGTAAACATGCCTCCTATTTCAACAATTACAGTATGAGCTTATTTAATTGGAGGATTTTGTTGTAACTTCCTTTGTATGTGGATGTCATCTCCTTTTTTGTAATATGAAATTGTCTCTTTACCGAAAAATTTGAAAACAATTTTACTTCAAGAGTTTGGCTATGGAGTCTTGAAATTCGGTTTAGACTTTAGTTTTTTTGTCCCTGGTAATTTGTTCGTACTCTTATGTAAAATGAAAAGTTCTATGTTTAGAGAGAACAATTTTACAGTCCGTCAAGTGGGCAAACTATTATGTTATTTTCATGTTTAAATGTATGACGACCTTTCTTCCTTTTCCCATCTTTTTGTAGGTTGTCCAACTCATGATGCTAGATTGCAAGCGTGCAGTTCCCTTGTTTATCCAATACAAGGAATTAATTCCTCCAAATGAAGTTGTTTCACAGCTTTTCAAAGCCGTTGATAAGTGTGATTTCAGATATTTCATGCACCTGTATCTGCATTCCTTATTTGAAGTAAATCCACATGCTGGAAAGGATTTCCATGACATTCAGGTACAAACTACTGAAGATTTAGTTATCCTTTAGTGATTCAATTTTTGTGTTTTCACGCATACAGATGATAAATCTCTTTGCCTTGATGTGCGATGTGACAAGATTGCACCATTGGAGTAAAGCGAGAGATACAAGTAAAATTACATCTCGCAATAATTTGAAAAAGAAAACATACCGTATAGTGTCAAGACATCAAACATGGATATTTATGGGGTAAAAGTTTGCCTTATCAAGGGCTATGTAGTCCTCGTTTGCCATTAAGACATTATAACCAGGAAAAGAGAATAAATAATCCGTCAATATAAAAAAAAGACTACTGTGATATCATTATCATTATTATTCTTTTGACGAAGTATACTTTTCACTGGATGAAGAAAAGATTACACTGCTAAGGGAGACATACAACGAAAACATTCCCACCACTCTTAACAGCCAACCCAATCTTAATAAAAAAAGCTCCCAATTGTATTGGTAAGATTAATAGAATAACAAAAATTGATTTGTCAAAGAACACCATAAAAGAAGCATAATTTTTAGCACAACCATCAATTTGCCTAATCAAACACTTCTTCCTTTTTTAAAAAGATTCTTTGGTTTATTTCGAACCACAGCTTTGATTGCATTTCTTCAACTTCACTTCACAAGTTGAGTTATATTCTCCTATGAACTTCTATCAAACACTCAAATCAAATTAAAAGTCTAGAAAAGTTACTCCCAAGTCAAGTCGACAAGTGTTCCACACCATTGTCCTGCTTTTCTCATGATGATAGCAAGACCACTTCAGATTGAAAGGCCTTTAGTTTTATAATTTTGAAGTTTGTTCTCTTTTGTATGCTCTTCTATATTCTCTTTGTTTTCTTATTCGTTCTATCTTGGGAGCTTGTATCCTTGAATAATTTCAATGAAAAATTATTTTTTGTTCCAAAAAAAAAAAAAAAAAAAAAAAAAAAAAACTTACAACTGTAGGCACAATGAAAGAATAAATGAGATTAATCCTCAACTACCATCAAAACAAGTCTATACGTGTTCAGCACCATTGTGTGTGTGTTTTGGATAAGAAACAGAGGTTAAATTAGCAAAAGCTAGTTATACAAATATTGGATATGAGATATCTCCACAGACAACTTTAGCTACTGTGTTAATTTTACCTAAGTGAGCTAACCAAATGAAACTTTTCTGGTCTTCCAGCTAGCCTTTAACCAAGATTTGTTGATTCTAATATGATGAAAGTTTTCTTTCACCAAGAACTTGACTGAAAACTTGCCTGAAGAATTCAATTAGATTCTTCCATCATTATTAGATCCAATGTAAGTGTAGATCTTTTTTTTTTTAAAAAAAAAAAAAGAAATAGAAGAAGATAGACCTTTTTGCTGCTCTCTGTTTTGAAGGGGGAAAAAATATCAACAAAAAATGAGAGGAGGGGGGAATGAAAGGAAAAAAAAAAAAAAATCGTGGTCTGATAACTGTACTAGATTTCCTCTGATTGAAGGGGAAATTGGCAAGAAAGAGAAATTTTGATTGGAGAGAAAAAATAGCCAGTAGCAATTTGATTTGAGAGAGAACGAAAAAAAAAATTGAACAATCTTTTTGATTTAGGTGACATGTACAGTCCCAGTTTCTGAGTGGGATGTGTAATGTAATGGTAGCTAGTTTATGTGGTGTCCTTGCAATGACTCTCTTCGCCATAGTTTCACAATGTTGATAAGCGAAAGAAATATGCAACGGAAAGCACCATATTGAAGGCACATGACACCATTGCACAAGGCAAGAAGAAGGGTGTGCGCTTCACCTTCTCTTGAACCATAGGCTTGCATCAAGAAGCACCTCGATAACATTGCTAGGTTTTTTTCCTTCAAATTATTCTTTATCTGCATAAATACTAAACCAAGTTGCTAGATGAAATTCACTGGTGGGTTTATCAAGAATGGTTAAGCTTGACCTGGAGTACGATAGGGAACAGAGATTTACGACTCATTTTTTTCATAGCCAAAATTAGTGGTTTCTATGTAGTTAGAGCTTTCTTGTTCCTATTTTAATAATTTGGTTCCTATTTACCCTCCAATAATTATGTAGGTGGAGCTTTATGCTGACTATGATATAAAGATGCTGCTTCCATTTCTTCGTAGTAGTCAACATTATACACTTGAGAAGGTCAGAATTATCTGTTGCTGCTTATAATGGTTATTCTTTATGTGTTTATAACTTTGTGAACATAATCTCAGGCATATGAAATTTGCATTAAAAAAAATCTTTTGAGGGAGCAAGTCTTCATTCTTGGAAGAATGGGAAACGCAAAACAAGCCCTTGCTGTCATCATTGATAAATTAGGAGATATAGAAGAGGTACTTGCATTATTTTCTGACTGCAGGAAATCTCTGCTTTCTGATAGACTCCTCACATTTCCATTTGAGATCTGGTTATGAACTGGTCATAGAACTTTGTTTTAACCATGAACAGGCAGTAGAGTTCGTTAGCATGCAGCATGATGATGAACTTTGGGAAGAACTAATAAAGCTATGTCTTCACAAGGCGGAAATGGTATCGATGAATGCTCTTTGCTTGCTGACTAATTTTCCGTGCACATTTATTTTAAATGATCTGTCCTCCATTATTGACAGGTTGGCATGTTATTGGAGCACACAGTTGGCAATCTAGATCCTCTTTATATTGTGAACATGGTTCCCAATGGAATAGAGATACCTCGGTTAGTGTCAATTTCTGTCATCATTAGTTTTCAACATCTATCCTGTTTATATCTGTTGTCTATTACATGCGGTATGTATCCCGGTAAAATATACTGTGGCCCTTTCACTTTTGGCAATCTAGATCCTCTTCATTAAGGATGCTTTGTTCCCCTCTCCTGTAGGATCTCACAATCCACCAATCCACCCCCTTGGGGCCAGCGTCCTCTTTAGTACACCCCCCGATGCCTGTCTCTGATCCCATTTATAACGGCCTAAACCCACCGCTAGCAGATATTGTCCTCTTTGGGCTTTTTCTTTCCCCTCAAGGTTTTTAAAACGCATTTGCTAGGGAGTAGTTTCCACATCCTTGTAAAGAATACTTCGTTCTCCTCTCCAAACCGACGTGGGATTCCACATTGGGAGACTTATTTATTTATTTTAAAGTTCTGGTCTATCACAGTGCTTCTTATTAGACCTATTTGATAGGATTCTGTAGTGGCTCCACCTTTCTTATATTCTTAATTTTGGGAACTCTTTGTATTTCCTGATTTGGTCTTGGTCACGTCTTTTTATACCCAAAATCCTGAACTATATTAAACCACTCAAAATATTTCAGTCCTTGGAATCATTGCTCATTGAGCTACCTTCCCTTCCCCCCAAAATGTATATACACACATATACATATATATTTATTGCTTTTCTTTAATATTAGGTTTCTATTATCCTATAATAAAGAATTTCTTATGGATTCTTATTTGAGATGAAAGGCTGTGCATAATGGATCACACTCATAGATATTGGGTTTTTATCTGTTAGTACTCAAAAAGTAATAAAAACTACCACTTAGGATTCAGTTCTAAGCATTTTTATTAAATCAGCTAAAGATCTCATCTCTTGTCTATCGATAGTGTCTATTGGTTTTGTATATATTTATTGATAAAGTCCAGTGTATCCAGCTAATATTTTGTATTGTGTCTGCTCTCATTGAATATGATCTCTGTTTTAAGTTGGCAGAGCTGTTTATTAGTTGATTGTTGAGGCACTATAACTGGGTTATTACCCTTCTTGGCCGATGTACTTTCAGAGATTTTCTTACAAAACTTTCTAAGTGTTGGACGTGTAGCAACGAGTAACGAAAATAAGCATACAACTATAAGTTTTGTTAGCAGATTGTAGGTTGTGTCTGAATTAAACAAATTAAACATATGTAGAATTAATTATATTTGTTCATTTGGATATACATAGTGTGTGAAATCTTTCCTTTATTCTATTTCAGCCTTCGGGATCGGCTAGTTAAAATCATTACCGATTACCGAACAGAAACCAGCCTCAGACATGGATGCAATGATATCTTGAAGGTATTTTCATGCTAGACAAATTTAGTTGCTTACTAGAACTGAACCTTGTGCTGGCAAATAGTAATGTGTGATTTTCGACAGGCCGACACTGTGAATCTATTGGTTAAGTACTACAAAGAGGCTAGACATGGAGTTTACTTGAGCAATGAAGACGATGAAGTACGCGGGAAAAGGAATGAAAATAAGGTTTCTCAGTCGATTCAGAAATCTTTGAGTGTTAGAATGATGGAGGTTAAGTCGAAAACTCGGGGAGGCGCTCGTTGCTGCATATGTTTTAATCCCTTTTCAATACAAAACATATCTGTTATTGTGTTCTTTTGCTGTCATGCGTACCATGAGACTTGTCTCATAGAATCTACTTCCAATCTTGATGCTAAAAAAGGGACGGGAGAGACTCGGCATGATTCAGTATCTGACTTCAATTACGATAACGGAGAAATAGAGGACGATGATGAGGACGAGGCAGATATGGGCGGTCCTAGAATGCGTTGTATCTTATGTACTACTGCTTCTTCCAAGAGTTGATACCCTTTGTTTACTTCCTCTTTGTTGGGCTTCTTTGAACGCGTTTATGCGCATACAGGCATGTACAGGCTACCATCTCTTGCTTGCTTGCATTGCTATTTATATTTTTCTTTATCAAAGTTTGTATAATTAAGGTTGGAAGCTTTTGTTTGATGGCTGGAGCGATTTTTATTTGATACAAAGCTCGAAGTTATGTTCGGGTTTGTAAGAGTTGTATGAATATACTTAGTTGAGTTGGGTTATGTGATTTACGAGCTGAAAGTGATTGACATTTGTATATTTTCTTTTTCAAATTCGATTCTTATGAGATATGTAACTTTTTGTAACGTTAATAACACTTGAATAATATTTGTTTTGGCCTCAAAATTTTCTATTTTTTAAAATTTTTTGAACAACTTTGAGATGCAAGGATATTTAAGGACAATATTAAGAGATGTCCATAGGGAGAAATTCAACCTAATCCTATCTCAAAGAACCTTCTTTAAATTGGCATTATTCCACAAAACTTCTATTATTCCTTTCTAGCTAAATATCCATTAACAAATCTACAAGATAAGATTGGATCCAGCGTGGAGCCAATGGTTCTAAAGATCGCAGGTGGTAAAATCACAATGTAACAATAAATGGTTAAGATTTTCTGATTCACCGGTTAAGATTGGATGGATCCAAATTATCAATAGGCTCTTCAAGCACGTTGAAAATTTGGAGAGTCGCTTCACACTTAGAGGAGCTATCGTGTTGACCACTTCCATTCCTCTCATTAGACCATTTGTACCACTCATAGCTACAGCTCTAACCCGATTATTTCCTAATAATTGTTGTACTTCACAAGTCACATTAATTTCTTGATCGGTAGTATCTTGACCTTTAACTATCTAAGTATTGTAAATATTAGGCATTTTGCTCGAGGGAAAAGCTACATTTCGGACCAATGGTTTGAGCGATACGTCCCAAGTTTTTTTTTTCAAGCGTGGAAACTTCAGGACCAGAAGTAGTTAAGAAATTATTGATGGTTCCAAAAACTAGACTTAAAATGGATCTATTAAAATTTTTTGAAGTAATTTAGATGTCGCAAGTTTGAGAACGGAAGTCTCAAACGTCAATGCCGATGTAAGAATCCAATCTTAGAATTTTCTTAAGAAATAGTGGTAGGACTCACTTGAAATTCAATATGAACCTTAAGTTACGTATGATTTAAAGAAATACAGAAGAAATAAGCAAATAATTGTGAGTTAAGTATCTGCATTTTGTTCGAGAATTAGGTATCGTTAGAATTAGCTACTAAATGAACTATTTTGATTTTCACATACCAATTTGTTGGTATTTGTAACCTCCTCACAAAAAGAAACTCTCAGACCTACACAACCCACTAAAAGAAGTTAACGACCATGATTGGTAAGTTCTTCTCACTGTATTACAAATGTCTACTACAAGGAGTTATAACATAATTGACCAGTAGGATTGATCTACCGCTCTTCAAATGTCTGTCTACTAATAAGAAGTTATGACCATGATTGACAAGTAATTCTATGCTATCATGTCCAAAGTTGAAATTAAAATAATAAATAAAATCTTCAAATTTTTTTTTTAATTAAAAGTGCTATTTACGTCAACTACATACTCCACTCCAACCTTACCAGTTTCAAAACTCCAAACAGTAATTTCTCACTCGGGTTAGCATGTAACACATGAAATGAAGGTTGAACTGAATCTATCCAGATGAGCTCATTGTCGACAAACCAACAGCTCCGGTGTCCGGCTTCAAGATTGAAAAAAAATAAAAGTTTCAGTTTAAACTATTATACATTTTCCCGTTGTTTCATTTGATTTATGGAGGCCGAAGATTCAAATGACGAGAAAGCATGAGTTTAGGCTCCTCTATGAGGATCCTTAAAAACCAGGCCAAATTCACCGTTGCAAATGGCAGATTACAGAGTTCCTTACATCAAATCAAACAATTATTGCGTCCCCATGGCTTCTTCTATCACGAATCTCTTCCCGTCATCTCCCAACTCTCGCACCCACGTTATGCCCACCAACTGTTCGACGAAATTCCCCTTAAAGATATCTCACAATACAACCGTCTGCTCTTCGAGTACTCTCGCAACGATCATAATCGCGAAGCTTTGTATCTCTTTAAGGGCCTTCACTCGACGGGGTTGGCCGTTGATGGTTCAACTCTGTCCTGTGTTTTGAAGGTCTGCGGAGTCTTGTTTGATCAAGTTGTGGGAAGACAGGTGCACTCTCAATCTTTGAAATCTGGGTTTCTAGAGAATGTCAGCGTTGGGACTGCTCTTGTTGATATGTACATGAAAACGGATGATTTTGAAGGTGGGAGAGAAATCTTCGATGAAATGGGTAACAAAAATGTTGTGTCATGGACTTCATTGCTGGCTGGATATGCACGCAATGGATTCAACGACTCAATCATTCATTTGATTAACCAAATGCAGATGGAGGGAGTAAAGCCAAACGACTTTACTTTTGCAACAATTCTTGGAGGTTTGGCTGATGAGAGTAAGATTGAGGTAGGAGTTCAAGTTCATGCCATGATAGTAAAATATGGGTTTGAATTAAACACATCTGTATGCAATGCTTTGATATGTCTGTATCTAAAATCTGAGATGGTTGGAGATGCTGAACTTGTTTTTGATAGTATGTTTGCTAGAGATTCAGTCACTTGGAATGTTATGATTGCTGGCTATACATCCATTGGGTATGATTTAGAAGGCTTTGAACTGTTTCATCGGATGAGGCTTGCAGGTGTTAAGCTCAGCCAAACTCTATTTTGCACAATTCTAAAGCTATGCTCTCGCCTGAGGGAGCTGCATTTCACCATACAGCTGCATTGTTTGGTGGTGAAAAATGGCAATGAATTTGATCAGAACGTCAGGACAGCACTCATGGTCACTTACAGCAAGTGCAGCACAGTGGATGAAGCTTTCAAGTTGTTCTCCATGGCGGATGGAGCTCATAATGTTGTCACCTGGACAGCCATGATTGGTGGGTTTGTGCAGAACAACGACACCAAGGAAGCGGTTGATTTATTTTGTCAAATGAACAGGGAAGGTGTAAGGCCAAATCATTTCACATACTCCACAGTCCTTTCAGGTAAGCCTTCTTCATTACTTTGCCAATTACATGCACAAATCATTAAATCTGATTATGAGAAAGTACCTTCAGTAGCTACTGCACTTTTAGATGCATATATTAACGAGGGATATGTCGTTGAGAGTGCTCGGGTTTTTGATTCGATTACTGTAAAGGATATTGTTGCATGGTCTGCCATGTTATCTGGTTTAGCTCAAATAGGAGATTCTGAAAAGGCAATGGAAGTGTTCAATCAATTAGTGAAAGAGGGAGTGAAACCCAATGAGTACTCATTTTCTAGTGTCATCAATGCATGTTCTTCACCAACAGCAACAGCAGAACATGGAAAACAAGTTCATGCAACTTCAATCAAATCAGGAAAGAGCAATGCTTTATGTGTAAGCAGTGCATTGGTCACAATGTACTCAAAAAGAGGTAATATTGAGAGTGCAAATAAGGTGTTCATCAGACAAGAAGAGAAAGATACAGTTTCATGGAATTCCATGATCACTGGCTATGCTCAACATGGTGATGCGAAGAAAGCTCTTGAAGTGTTTCAAGTTATGCAAAACAAAGGATTATCAATGGATGATGTAACATTCATTGGAGTACTTACTGCTTGTACTCATGCAGGATTAGTGGAAGAAGGCGAAAAGTACTTCGATATTATGATTAATGATTGTCATATCGATCCAACAATTGATCATTATTCGTGTATGGTCGATCTATACAGCCGATCTGGAATGTTTGAAAAAGCCATGGACGTCGTGAATGGAATGCCGTTCTCTGCTAGTCCAACAATGTGGCGGACTGTGCTGGCGGCGTGTCGTATTCACCGTAATTTAGAGCTCGGAAAACTTTCTGCAGAGAAGCTCATTTCACTTCAACCGAATGACTCGGCGGCATACGTCCTGTTATCGAACATCCATGCCGTGGCTGGGAATTGGCAAGAGAGAGCCAAAGTGAGGAAACTAATGGATGATAGGAAGGTTAAAAAGGAAGCTGGGTGCAGCTGGATTGAGGTAAAGAACAGGATTTTCTCCTTCTTGGCTGGGGATGTTTCACATCCATTTTCTGATATTGTTTATGCAAAGCTCGAAGAACTGAGTATTAAACTGAAAGATATGGGGTATCAGGCGGATACGAATTATGTTCTTCATGATGTGGAGGAAGAACACAAAGAAGCCATTCTTGCTCAACACAGTGAGAGATTGGCTATTGCTTATGGATTGATTGCTCTGCCGCCTGGATCTCCGATTCAGATTGTAAAGAATCTCAGGATTTGTGGGGATTGCCACAACGTAATTGAGTTAATATCGTTGATTGAAGAGAGGGCTGTGATTGTCAGAGATTCAAGTCGCTTCCACCATTTTAAAGGAGGAGTTTGCTCCTGTGGAGGTTATTGGTAACCCTCGTTCTAAACATACAATATGATTTAGTTTATATTGCCGCCATTTTTTTTTCTCCATATTTGTCCATTCTTTAAATTTTGAGTATAAATTTCGAACTTTTTTTAAGATTCTAAATTTTAAATTTTGAATTTAATAGATTCATTTATACTCTTTTAAATGAATAAGAAATGAACTATAAAGAAAAAAGATATGTAACACCCCTAGTTTCCTAATATAAATAGGGTTGTTGGGACTAATGCTGTGTAGAAAACATTCATTTAAAATATTTATTTGATGGCTCAGTGCCTAAACTTACTACTTGTAAATATTGTATTCTTTGGGTTTTCCCTTTCGGACTTTCTTTCAAGGTTTTACTCCTTCAGAGCCCAATGTCTTTAGTGGCACACCGTCCGATGTCTAACTTTGATATCATTTATAACAACCCACATGTTAGCCATTATTGTCCTCTTTTGATTCTCTTTGAAGCTTCCTCTAAAGATTGTACCCCTTGGGGGCTCAACGTTGGTGGCACATTGTCTAATGTCTGGCTCTAATATTATTTTTAGAAGCCCAAGCCCACTGCTAACAAATATTGTCCTCTTTGGGTTTTCTCTTTCGGGCTTTCCTCAAGGTTTTATCCCTTGGGGCCCAACGTCCTCGGTGGCACATCACTCCATGTCTGGCTCTGATACCATTTGTAACAGCCGAAGCCTACCGCTAGTAGATATTTTCATGATGTTTGACTCTGATACCATTTGTAATAGCCCAAGTCCACTGCTAGCAAATATTTCTCTTTGGACTTTTCCTTCCAGGTTTCCCCTCAAGGTTTTAAAATACGTGCATGAGCCATTAGTTACGAGTCATCATACATCATACAATTCGTCCAATCAAACTAACAGTAGAGCCATTTACATGGTTGTCTAAGTCGAAGTCACAAAATATTCCTAGAGCTGATTCGAATATGTTCATCAGCATCCGATTCAACCTATGTGAACCCACGACATCAAATTAGAATAAACTAACGAGCTTAACTTACCTAAAGGTATCAAACAATCCAAACTTTTAGCTCAAATTCAGCAAACACAGATCATACTGGCCTTAAATACTCCAAATAACATCAGCTCTAGAAGGGTCAAAAATGTAGGAAACAAGTTCAAACAATCTAACTTGAGCCAGAAGAGCCGCTTAAGCTGAGTTGTCGAGCCAACACTAAGCCGAGTGGCGCCGCACGATGAGGTTTGAGACGAGGCACGAGTTGTGGATTTGATAGTAGCTTCGACACGCATGCCGCACATGAGTCAATTGGGAAGGATTGTGGGTCACGGGTCGTTTATGGGTAGGCTGATGTGTTCATCCATGGGATGCAATTTCTAGCTCGCATAGGTTGGATTGGGCACTACGTGACTCAAGGCCGTGGGCTTCTATAGACGGCTAGTTGCTATCCTATGACAACGGGTCTACCCGAGCCGAATGCAGACCCGACTTAACCTAATTAAATCCAAATTTGTCTCCAAATAAAACAAAATTTCATTACAGAAAGGCTACAAATCAAATGTTGTATTCCACCAAATATCATTGCTACCATAAACAGCTCATGTATTTCATGTCTGCAGAATTAAACTTTAAGCCTTTAAGAATAATGATATTTAAATGAGATGTTAAGAACTATACAAACTTTAACCTTATAATCATATTTTCACATACATTAAACCTTCCTATAATGAACTCCAGTGGGGTGATTCAAATGCTCTGTTCGTCCATTACGATTGGCTCACTCGATCTTTTCCAGTATTTCCAACCGGGTTTTTCTCTTCCACCCTTTCATTGATGCAACGAGGTTAACCAAACCAATAACTTGGCTCTTACTGTATTCCTGCAAAAACGGGAAAAATTCTCTAAGCCACGAAAAAGGCGTCAAGGATTTAAAGATCGATGTTTACAGAAATATGTCGTCACAATCGTGTCAGAAATGCAACACTATTTTCATTAATAATAAACATGTCATGCTATCCAAATATTTAGTTTTCAAAACTTCCGTATGTCAGGAATCACGAATCTCCACAATGCTATGATATTGTCCACTTTGAGTATAACCTCTCATGACTTTGCTTTGGGCTTCACCGAAAGGCTTCGTACCAATGAAGATGTATTCCTTACTTATAAACCAATGATCATTTCCTTAATTAGCCAATGTGGGACTCCTTCCCAACAATCCTCCCGTGGAATAAAGTACACCAAAGAGCCTCTACTAAGACCTAGGGAGCCTTCGAACAGCCTCCCTCGAACAAAGTACACAATTTATTCGAAAATTGAGTCACTTTTGACTACAATTTCGAGGGTCTCAATTTCTTTGTTCGACATGACTTTGATACCATGTTAGGAATCACGGATCTCCACAATGATATGATATTGTCCACTTTGAGCATAAGCTCTCATGGTTTTGTTTTGGGCTTCCCCAGAAGGCCTCATACAAACGAAGATATTCTTTACTTATAAACCCATGATCATTCCCTTAATTAGCCAACATGAGACTCCCTCCCAACAATCCTCAACACAATATTCATATACAGATTCACATTAGCGATACATATGGATTAAGCTGCGAATCCAAACCTAGCTCAATGGATAAAGTACCAATTACAATTACCATTCCGGAGGACAATGGTTCAATCTCAACCCCGCAATTGTCAGACTTAACAAAAAAAATTAAGGTTCGTATTGATATTGATGTTGAACTAAAAAGCAATGACATCCAATGGGCATCCTAAACTATATGCAAGCGTGAATATTCAAACTTTCTCAGTTCAAGGTAAGTTTCTTACCGGGTGAGCTCGTGTCCAGTGTACGTATTCGGTTTCTGGAAGGTAGTACGCCTTTTCGATGATATGTCATTAGTATGTTAAATAACACGCTTTAGATAAATAGTCAACCAAGTTTGCTCGAAATTTAAAGCTCAGGCTTACCTTAATGAAAGTCTCAACCATTTGTAACTTAGGCTTCACATTCGCAGAAACAAAATGTTGCAAGCCATTGATTAAAACCTGAAAATGAATAAAATTGCATTATTAAACAGCAAAACAGAGAAGAAGAGAAAGGAACCTATAAATAATGGCGTAAGCAAAGATGCAATCAGTAGCATAGCTCATAGATACCTGAAGATCCAATGACATCAGAGCGCGTCCTTCATCGGAACATCGCTTTATTCGTGATATACCTTCAATAAGTGTTTCTGCAACAATATCCAAACCATACTCCAAGAGGAGGTCTTGAACCTACAAATGTCAAACATATAAGGTTTCAAAAGCAATTACAATAATGGAGAGACTAATAATCAAGCTAAGGTTATACATCCCTTTAACCTAATCAGTACACTAGAACGTCTTTCAATTAACCAGACAACTTGAACTTCAATAAGAAAAATTATCTCATGGTTTACTACAGGGACAAAGAATCAAACCACAGAATCAATGAAATTCACAGGACGCCATGATTGTGAAAAAAGCCCGCCTGAGGCTCAAAAGGGTTTGGAACGGGTATAGACATGGTTTTGGTGAACGGTCATACACCCTTGTATTGACCCAACGTGAAATAGTAAAGACCTATCTAAGATGAAAACATGTAAAAGGGGTTTGGAACAGGCATGCAACTATGGGCAATACGTCCTAGAAAAACAAGATTGGGACATTTGCCATGCAGCCATAGGCAACACGCCTTGGACAAGCACGACCGTGACACATCGCATACCATTTTAATTTATTTTTCATTTAAATTTTACTGAATATACGAAAACATATATGTAAATAACATCACAAATTTAGAAAATAATATATATTTAACTTACTATAAAGAAGATATATCTTAAATTCATGGGCCGAGAGGGAAGCATAACATCAGAAATTAAAGAAAACATACATACATAACTTCAGCAATTTAAAAGGAAGATATGTTTATCTTTTTAAATAATATTTTATAGAAATAAAAAAATATAAAAATTTAAATAATAAAGAATGAATTTAGAATCGTGGGCTCAGATAAAGTGGGTGTTAAGAATATTCTTACAAAGCATCTTAGTCAATGATCTATTACACTCGATCAAAGTTAAATACATTACAGAGAACAAAAGGACCAACAAACCAGTAGCTATAAACATGATGAAAACAGCTATCAACAGAGAATTCATAAAAAAAACACAAAAATGAAAAAAAAACTTGATCAATTCTGCCTAATTGATTACCTCCTTGCGAACTCCGCTATGAGCCAGCCTTGTTTTATAATGCTTGAATTCTCCCAATAACAAGTCGACGTACCTATTCATACAGTTTAATTAAACGATGTATTAACAATAGTCACGAACTCATAAGTTAATAAAATCTTAAGCTATGGGGCCTGAGCCTGTTCCTAAAGCACAGGCTCTCGTACCAAATCCAACATATAAATCAGCCATCCTACCAGACTTCAAATGAAAAGTGCTAAAATGTAAGGAACTAAATTGAAATTTTTAAACAAAACATATTCTTAAAAATATACTCTATTTTTGCACTAGGCGACCTTTTTCACCTTAGAAGAATGTAAAACATGCGGATACAATGTGGTTCGTCCATCATTTTAACAAAATCAGATAATATTTAATAGGTTGAGGTTATTGAAATAAACTTAAAATGCGAAATGTAGTTAATTTGTTAGGAAAGTTAATTTGAAAAAGCCAGGTGAAAGAAAAGGCCCAGAGCCTTTTTAGGGAATGATGGTAGGGGTTTATGAGCGTTTCTCTCACCATATTATTAGTTTTAGAAAAGGTATAATCCTTTAACGGTAAAGTCAGAGCAAAAAACAGAGAGCAAAGAAATACAATAGAAAAGGTTTTTTATAAAATCAGCGTTCTTTGTCTCCTCGTCTCTTCTCTCTCAACATCTCCTTCATAAGCGTGTGTGTGTGAGATTTACTTCACAAATTAGTGAGTATTATTTTAACAGAGAGAGATGTAATAGCTCTCATCTAAAGCTCTTTCACTTGATATAAAAGTAACAGGCCAACCTTTAACCATAGTTTGGGAAGTACATTTATATGAGTGTCTATATATATATGTATATATAAGATTAACATAGAAGACTAACGACAAATAGATTGAGTATCTTTAGAGAACAAACCCATTATGCTCCAGTCCAAGCTCTTTTACTTCCCATTTTGCATTGGCTATCCGGTCAACATAACTGTAAAAGGAGCTTATCGTCAAAAATCGTTGCAATCTTCGAAAATTGTAGGTACTGAATTCCATAAAATAATTTTACATTTTAGCCTGTGGAAAAGGAAGTCGCTGCTAATGACGTTGAACCATATAACGTTTAAAATATAATCGAGGAGAGCAAAAGTTTCAAATATGAGAAGGGAAATTACTACTATGTATATACCTGTACGAACAACATTACGTCATAATTTAATAATAATCTAGTTAGCTAGCTTTATCTTTTTCCTCTTAGACACAGGCTGCCTGCTTTGAACGACAAATAGGCAGGTCGTTAATGATTAGGCGGGTAGTTGTTAAGCTAGGTGACATATGATTGGAATGGTAATCTGCATAAGGCCTCGAGAGTTGCCCACTGCGAGTCACCATGGAGGAGATTTTTTGGAAATGGTTGGAACTTGGAGCAAAACTAGGCTGAATAAAGAAAATGCACTGAGTTCTTTTGCCTATTGTCACGGTCATGCTTGTCCAAGGCGTGTTACCTATGGCTGCATGGCAGATATGTCCCAGTCTTGCTTGTCAAGGGCATGTTGTCCATGGTTGCATGCCCATTCCAAACCTCTTTTATATGCTTTCATCCTAGATAGGCCTTTACCATTTCACGTTGGGTTATTACGGGGTGTATGTCCGTCCACCAAAACCATGTCTACACCTGCCAAGGCTAAAATGTCCCAAAATGTACTATGGGGGATATGATTAGTTGTCACATCTTCCTACCCCGAGTTGTATGCTATTTAAGCCATGGTATTTCTTTATTTGCTTATAGTCATAACGTTGCTTTCTTCAATTCTTTAAATCGTTTTCAAATGTATTTCCTCCTTCACGTTTTCTAAACCTTTTATCACAATGTGACTCGAGGCTCGAACATACGTCGATGTTGTCCGTGATGTCCGAATTTCTCATAGCTGACTTATTCGTTTGGTTAGAACAAATGGCGCACAATTGCTGTCCCATTATCGCAAGAGTGCGATTGTGACACCTAGTTTCACCAATGTGCTACAGATACTTCTATAATAGGTTACTGAAATGCTCGGCTTGGCAACCAGTTTGGATGATAACACAATGATGATCTCATTCCAGAAAGCCCCCATCAAATACCCATAGCTGTCACAAACATTCCTTGTTGGTTCTCCTACAGCTAACAACGGTTTTCAACAGAAGTACTGTGCTATAAAACCTATCAGATGTTATTTTGGGGATGACACAGAAGTAGCATATATCAAAGGCCAATGATTACGACTGTGGATGGCTTCGTATTCTCTAATGGGATACAACACCTTGGCCACGAACAAGATTTATAACTTCGCCAGTAGATTGATTTCCTATCTAAAACGTTAAATGATTTCAAATCACTTTGATCTTACCCATGTACTGCACCTTACTGCTACTACTTCAATACTATTAAGTGAACCACATGTTCTACCAATGAGTAGAGAAATTCAACTAACTATAAAGGATTGAGCAGTGAACACTGATATGTTTTTAGGCTTTGACAAGGGTAAAAGACACCTCTCAAAAGATTCTTATGAAAAATCAGATTTCATTGAGAAATTGAAAGATTACAAATGAGTATACCAAGAACAGCCTAACAGAAAAATATGAAAAAAAAGAAAAAGAAAAAGAGAGCTGACTAGCTATGCAAAAACGGCTCGAATAGGATGTTTCGTTTTTATTCTCCTTTTCACTCCTTGAAGTTGGTTTCCCATTTTTGTTTCTTATCATTGGTTACAAAAGCTCACATCTTGTTAAAACAAACATACCTCTATAAGAACGTTAATGACTTCATTAAAAAGTTAATTTCCATTTTCTCAGTTTAAGCAAGATGTAATTGTAGAATAAAACCTGTTTTTGCAAATAATTGCGAAGTTCTTGTGCTACTTGTCACAATCGCACTTTTGATGGCAGTAGACTTGCGATTGTGCGGCACTCACTTCTCAAGTGAGTTAAGCCAATTCGTTCTTGTGTCGCCTCGGCCAAGCGACGTATGCTCGAGCCTATGGCCCCGGTTCAAGAAGAAAGTTTTAGAAAATGGGGGCAGAGAGAGATTTCGAAAGAGAGGTTTTGAAAGCAAGATTTGAGAAATTGAAATTGGTGCTATATATGCAAGCAAAAAGGCAACAACAACGGCTCACAGTATGTAACTATTGGTAGAGAGAAGTTGACAACTACTCATATCCACCTATAGTATATTTTGAGGCATTTCATGTCTGGCAGACCTAGACATGATGTTTGCCGAAACGTCATACTCACTTAGAAATACAAAAGTAAAGCATTACAACATGGAAAAACATAAAGGGTTTGGCTTGGCATACGCATGCAGCTATGGGTCACATGCCCTGGACGAGCATGACCGTGACATCCTCCCCCACCTAATAGAATTCACGAATCCTCCGTACAGGTCTTCCTACCTTCCTAACCCTATTGGCCAGTATTGCCTCTTTGATGTTTTTTGTTTTCAGATCGATGCTCAGTCTGGTGGTTGCATTTCACTGATCGTCGTTTGGATCGGGATGATAGGGCTTCAGGTTACTCACATGAATTACTGGATGGATTTTCATTCATGTGGGTAACACAACTTTGTAAGAGGTAGCCCCAATCTTTTTGAGAACTTCAACTGGCCCTTCATATTTTCGAAAAGTCTTTGGTCCTTTCGACGGCGGGATCTTATATGTTCTGGCCTCAGCTTAATAAGGACTTAGTCTCCTGCTCAAACTGGAGGGGGCGATGCTTCTCGTCTGCTCACTTCTTCATGTGTTTGGAAGCTTTTTCCAAATACGCTCGGGCTATATCTGTAGTCTGCTTCCATTCTCTGGTGAAGTTCTGAGCTTGAGGGTTCTTTCCTGCATAAGAATGATCAATAATATGAGGCAAGGACGATTGTCGTCCACTTACAATTTCGAAGGGGGTATTTCCGTAGACGAACTCGTTTGACAATTGAAACAAAACTAAGCGATATCCAGAAGTTGTACCTAGTTCTTCTGACGAGCGTCGACGAAGTGACATAAGTATTTCTTGAGCAAGAAGTTGAACCATTTTGTCTGTCCATTGGTTTAGGGAGGGTAGCTCGATAAGATATTTAAAGTCGTTCCCAAGAAGGTGAATAGCTCAATCCAGAATGTGCCAATGAATCTACCATCCCTATCGTTGACGATGCTCGACGGAATGCCCTATAGCTTCATAATATGTTTGAAAAATAGTTTGGCTGTTAGTTCGGCCGAGCATATTTTAGGGGTGGGAATGAACGTTGTGTACTTCGAGAATCGGTCTATGATGACCAAGATGACTTCATAATCACCGACTTTTGGGAGGTGTGTTATAAAGTCTAGAGACACACTTTCCCAAGGCCTTGTTGGCACGGGTAGAGGTTCCAAGAGTCCTGAGACTTTGACTTTCTCGATTTTGTCTTATTGGCAGATGAGACACGTCTTGGTGTACTGCATTATGTCGTGACACATATTTGTCCAAAAATACCCCTTTTTGATTAAGGCATAAGTTCGTGGCCACCCAGGGTGTTCGGCCCATAAAGTATTATGACATTCTTTGATGAGCTTCTTCCCTTAGTTCTCCTGTTCTTGGGACATATAATCTGTTTCGTTTTGTGTCTTCCCAGCTTTGGCTAGTTCAACGACGACTTTGGCCAGCGGGTCTTGGAGTAAATGTTCTTTTATGATGTCGCGCATCGATCTTAGTTGAGTGAATATGGGCTAACATGCACAGGGCCGCATATTCGCCCTTCCGACTCAGTGCGTTGGCTGCTCTTTCCTGTTTTGTGTTCAAATTTGAAGACAAATTCGGCTAACGACTCTTTCCATCGAGCTTGTTTTTCCGTCAACTTTGGTAGATCAAAGAAGTGGCAAATGGCACTGTTGTCCGTCTTCACCACGAAGTGCAATCCTAAGAGGTACTGTCTCCAGACTCATAGGCAATGTGCAACAACTAGCATCTCTTTTTCGGAGACCGAATACTTCCTTTCTGCATCATTGAGCTTTCGACTTTCATAAGCGATGGAGTGACTTTCTTGAATAAGGACACCGCCTAGGGCAAAGTCGGAAGCATCTGTCTCTACTTCGAATGGCTTAAAAACATCCACCAATCCGAGGACAGGACCCCTCATCATGGTTGTCTTCAGATCTTCAAAGGCCATTTGACATTCATTTGACCACGACCAAGGGTGGTCTTTCTTTAGAAGTTCTGTTAATGGGGCGGCTCGTCGTGAAAACCCTTCGACAAACTGGCTAATAATAGTTTGCCAATCCTAGGAAGGATCGTACATCGGATACTGAAGTTGGAGTTTTCCACTTTTGGATAGCTTTTATCTTGTCGCTATCTATATTGATCTGTCCACAACTGATGACGTGTCCAAGAAAGTTGATGCATGTTTGTGTGAAGATACATTTTTCTTTCTTGACATATAACTGATTCTACCGCAGCTTGTCGAACACTAGCTTTAGGTGCATCTTGTGCTCTTCTAGGGTTGTGTTGTATACGAGTATGTCGTCGAGGTATACTATGACGAATTGATCCAAGTATTCGTGGAAAACGTGGTAATGTGCAAAACGTAGTTGTGGCGTTTGTTAGACCAAAGGGCATTATTAGAATTCGAAAGCCCCATATCTTATTACACACGTCGTCCTAGGCTTATCCCCTTCAGCGATACGTACTTGGTAATACCCTGATCGTAAGTCCAGCTTCGTGAAGTATTTGGTCCCGTGAAGTTGGTCAAACAAGTCGGATATTATCGGTAGTGGGTATTTGTTACGTACAGTCACTTTGTTTAAGGCTCAACGTTCCATTCTTCTTCTTTTGAAACAGTACGGGGGCTCCGTAGGGTGCCTTTGCGGGGCGGATGAATCCCGCCACCAACAAGTTTAGTTGTTTCCTCAATTCGGCTAGCTCAGGGGTAGCCATCCGATATGCGTTCTTCGCTGGGGGTTTAATCCCAGGGAGGAGTTCAATTTCGTGATTGAT